TGTGTGTGTGTGTGTGTGTGTGAGGGTCTCTCTCCCCGGTGGCTCTAGCCTGTGTCACAGTGACAAGCACTTAGCAGCATTGTCTTTGTTCCATGTCCCTTTGTCACATTAGCCAGGCTCACAACCCACTTCGCTCCATCCCCAAAGGAAGAAACTTGGATTTTGGCAAATAAACAAGTTTATTGGTTTTTGTTGTTGTTGTTGTTTTGTTTTTTAAAGAATCAGTGTTACATTTGACTTAGAAACAGAAGTAAAGGGTCTCAGAAAGTTTAAAAAGGCATTTGTTCTAAGGTCTCTCATTCTCTGGCGCAGGTGCCAGTCTCCATAAGATTGGGGCAGTTTCCCTGGGGAGGGGGAAACGTTCTTGCTCCTGGACATTCCCAACTAAGCCACTGCCCACTGCCATCGCTACCTGACAAAGGCTCAGACCCCGAAGTCCCTTTCTATAGGGCAGAGAGAAAGGACACGACCCTGGTCACAGCCCCCGCCCCAGGCCATCAGCACGGTGGTGGCTTGATGTTCTGAGATGACTTGGGTAGAATCTCTCTGCACACCCATGCACTGCGAGCCGGGTTGCCAGCTGGTGGTCTTTGAGGAACTGTGTCCTGAAGTGTCTGATGTCACTGTTACACTCATCCCTTGCTGAGTGTGTAACATGAGAGCATTCTCAGAAGTGGTAGGAGGAGGTGAACCTTCCCTGGAGAAGGCAGGTCCCTAATAGCGTGTTTTTGAAGGCCTTCCTTGCCTATTTTATCCCATTCCGGGTCACCCTGCTCCCGAGTGACGTTCTGCCTCAATTCTGGCCCCCACAAACAACACAGTCCAGGGACCTTGGGCTAAAATGACCCATGAGCCATAATAGATCCTTCCTCCTCAGGTGTCTGTCTCAGTGACTCAGATGTCTAACCGTCTTTGGGGAATCAGGCTCCCCACTCAGGCACGTGTGGGCAGTAGCAGCCCTGGTGACTACTGGAGTCCACTTACCCGGCTCTCCCAAGTGAGCAGATCCCCCAGGAGGAGCCAACTGTACCAGACCCCCAGGCACACCGAGGAAAACATCCTGGATGTTCTCACTCCCTGCTAACCCAGTCCTTATCTTTTGCATACATAATGGTTTTTTGTTTTGTTTTGTTTTGTTTTTCTTTTTTCTTTTCTCAATACAGGATCTCATCTATCCCAGGCTGGTTTGACCTTGCTATGTAACCAAGGATAGCCTTGAATTCCTGATCCTCCTGCCTAGGATTACAGGTATATACCACCAATTCCCAGCTTATGTGGCAGTGGCAATGGAACCCGGGGCTTTTTACATGTTAGGCTAATGTTCTATCAGTTGAGTTATGTTCCCTTAATGCATCATAACCAGCCCCTGTAGGCCTCTGTGAGACATAGCCAAAGACCACACACACGCACACACACACACACACACACACACACACACACACTCTCACACACACACGGTGTCTATGTACACCTACACTTCATTGCCAGCTTCCAGCTGTTCATGAACTCAACCGTGTTTGGCAAATGCAGGTATTTGCCATTCAACAGAAAGGGACAAAAAAAAAAAAAAGATACATAGACGCACTTTATCGGCTGAGCCATCTCGTCAACACTTCCTTTAAAACACCAGCCATTGAAGCAACACAGGGCTTTAACAAGGCTCACCCTTGAAGGTCAAAGACTGAACACATTGTCATTAATTTGAGGTCCTGTCATGGCCACACACAGACATGGACATCCCCTGGGATGCAAATAAATATACTCCCAGTGTTGGTTGGCTCGAGGACAACACATCCAAGCCATCCCCATCCCCATCCCATGGCTTGGTAGATCACAGTGAAGCATCCCCAGATCACTTGCCTGGATGTCGTGTGCTGGTGACAGCAGTCGTGAATTGACACCTTGCTCAGCTAGAAGGATTCTTGCTTGGGGGGGGCGCTCCTCACACCCATCTCTGGTGTGAGGAGCCTGCAGTAGGTGTGAACAGCCTGCAGAAGGCAGAATTTGGCGTTCCTGGAAGACATCTGCCCTGTGTCTTCCAGAAACACACTCTGATTTGATATTGATACCTGCTCCCCTTCCCAGAGGCCACACCCTTGCTAGGGACCCCTGGATACCTGGAAGGCCATTCTGCTGTGGAGTGGAAAGGGCCAGTGGCAGGGCGGCTTTGTGTCTAGAGAGCCCACATGAGATGCAGCATGAAGAAAGCAAGAAAAGCTTGCAACCCACTGGATGACAGTGCAGCTACGCTAACGCCAGCTCTGATGGGCTCAAGGTAAGTGCAGACAGGGCGGGGTCAGGACCGCATCTTATCTTCAACTGGGCATCTCCCACCACAGCAGCTAAAATGGGCCCAGACAGAGCAGCGCAGACCCCAGATTGCTGGTTCAGGTTGGGTTCTGACTAACTCTGAGTACAAGCCTATCTCCCATGGATATTGCCAAACAAGCCATGACCATGTCTTCAAGTTCCAAGGTCACTAGGCCACAGCATGACCTTGGGGGGCTGAGACACTGGTACAGAAGTGTTGCGGGGGAGGGGGGGACAGAGAGCAGAAGGGCCTATTTCCTCCAGTTTGGCTAGCAGCCAGCCTCATGACGGGTGCCAGTCTCTGACACCTGGGGACAGCAGCCTGTTCAGACCCTTGGTCCCCCCGCTGGAGTGTCATTCCCAGGGCAGGCAGGTACTAACCACTTTGGCCAACCGATGTGACTTCCTTCCACAACTTGTGACCCCTTCCCTGACACTGGATGTTGCCAGTTGGTTTTCCTAGCAGTGGCCTGAGGCATGTGGGAGCCCCAGCTGACACAGATAAAGATACAGCTGGAGATCTGCCACAGAGCCACTCTGTGGGGCTGCACACACTTTGTAGGAGACAAAAACAAAGTTCCTGAAAATTAAATTCCAAGAAATAGTCCCATTTAGGTTTTCTGGAAGCTTCTTCATTCCCTTTTCCATCCCACACCCCTGGCTCCCTGTCAGAATAGAAAAGGGGGGACACAGACTACAAAGAAAACTGGGGAAGTCAAGCCCTGTTTCTTTTTGGAAGAAGGCCCTTGAGGGAAAGGTCTAAGGTTTTGGTCCAAGTGGCAGGGAGCTCTGATTACACTGCTAATTTGGGGACCAAAGTGAGAAGAGAGTATCTTTTTTTTTTTTTTTTTTTTTGTAGAATAATAAGAAGCAGGGAATATGGGCTGGAGAGATGGCTCAGTGGTTAAGAGCACTGTCTGCTCTTCCAGAGGATCTGGGTTCAATTCCCAACACCCACATGACAGCTCACAACTGTAACTCCAGTTCCAGGGGATCTGACACCCTCGCAGAGACATACATGTAGGCCAAACACCAATGCACATAAAACTTAAAACAATTTAATCATAAAAAAAGAAGCAAGAAATCAAGAAGGGGCAAATTAATTAGCAGGAACATTTGCCCAGGGCTGAAAATCAGAATCTAGCTTGTGACACCCACATGCTCAGTGTTTGTGCTGGAGATGCTAACTGGCATGTCACCCCAAGGGCCCCTTCTGTCCTTCCCACGGAGGAATCACAGGCCCATTCAGGGAACCTGAGTCTGCCATGTGAGGCCCTCATGGGTTCCCTGGGGGAAACACAGGCCCCAGGGCGCTGCGAAGGGGCTAGAGAATCTTAACAGTTTCTGGTTGCCACTGGACTTCAGTTTGAAATCACCAGTCACTAAGGTCCCATCGGCAGCAAACCGGGCTGTCCACAGGACAAAGTGTGCTAGCATTTAGCATCTGCCTCTCAGCATGGGACACACAAGAGCCACCCAAGCAACAGGTAGGCTTCTGCTTCCCTTGTGTCATCACTCCCTCCCCTCTGGCTGGAGGCAGCCCAGGGAGAATGCCTGTAAGACCAGAGGTTCCCACAGAGGCAGGGCCTCACTTCACTGGGGAAGTCTGGGTGGAAGTGGACTTTGAGGAAGGAAGGTCGTGTCCCAGACACAAGTGGCCATATGTCCCCCTTCTCCAGGGACCCGGACACCCTTCCTCTCTCTCTTCCCAGCTTCCCATCCCCACTTCCTGACAGGTAGGAAACAGGCAAAGGCTGCGTTCTTCACATTGTTGCCAACTCAACGTAAGTGGTTTACAGGCAACCATCTCTTTTTTTAATGAAAAACAGAGAACTGAGGGTATCCCAGGTCCACAAGCCTGAAGAGCAGCCAGCAGACTCAGGGGTCCTGACTCTGTGCATCATTCCTTCCTAACCCAGGGCAGAAGGGAAAAGGGCGTGCACAGGTGACCATGTCTCCCGACAGCACCCCACCCCCACCCCCACCCATGCGATTTTATTAGTGCTTGCTCCCGGAAAGGAAATCTTTGGTATTTCCCCGCCCTGACCTCCCCTGTGCAACTCCCCACAGATAGAGCGAGTCATTCTTCTGGGTAAGAACAGGACATTCTAGGCTCAGGCTGGGCAGTGACTCACTGTTATTCAGAACGCTGACACAAGGCCTGTTCACTCTCACTCCAGAGGCATTCAAGGCCCCTCTGATTTTGAAACTTCAGAGGACCAAGTCCTTAAAGAACAGATGAGATTGCACTGGGGCTAAGAAGACAGAGAGGCAGACCATAAAACAAAGAAATGACGTTTGGCACTAAACTTGCCTCCTGGGTGGAATGTGAGTGGTGGCACGTGGGCTCCCCCACATGGCCAAAGGTGGAAGCTCACCTGCCAGAAAAGTGAGCAGCACCAGTCACAAAAGGACCCCAGGGCATTATGGGTCCTTTTGGGCTGCCGATGGGTAGCTCTCTTGCAATAGAGGTGTTCTGTCAGTCTGGGTCACTGGAGGCCAAAGTGAGCAGAATTTTAACAGGAATGCCTTTCATCCAGAGCCCCGGCTCAGCCCACACTGTGCACACGTCTCTAATGAAAGCACAGGTTCTTTTCCACGCACGGCCTGGGAAAATGTACAACCAATCAAAAGGAGAGAAACAGATTTCCTGATGCTCCTCTCTGGGAAAATCCTGGAAGACACTGAGACTCTGTGTGACTGACACAGAGCGTGACTGTGAGGCAGGGGCCATGGTAACCCTCGTTATGTGACTGAACAAAAACTGCATGTGCCCTGAGAAGCTGCTTTATGTTGTTGACTTTCTTTTAAAAAATAAAAATTCAGAGGCCCCGGAGGAGGCTCAGTTAGGAGCTGTCAATTCTGTTCCCGGTGGTACCAGGTTAGTGGTGAAGCAAGAGATGGCAGAGAGCCAACAGTCAGGCTTGGAGCCCTGGAGAGGTAGTGTGATGAGAGCTAGCTACAGCCTGCCCCCTAGTGCTGGGAACTGGCCACATACTCCCTAGAGAGAGGCTGAGAGCTGTGGTCACCCCGACCCCCAGGAGCAAAGAGCCCTATCTATATATAGATCAGACACCTGATGGCCCAGGGATAACAGAACAGTTCTCAGTGGGAAAGGGGAGCCCAGGTCTTTAGATGGGGTCGGAGGGGGGGGGGTTGACATGGCAGTGTCTGTCTGTTCCTCCTTGGTATACAGGGAGAAGGGCAATGGGGAATGCAGAGGACGGTGGCTGTCGGGCACAGAGCAGGTAGAAGCTGCCTGAAGGAGGACCAGACGTCAGCTGGGGTGAAGGGATTCCAGAAGAGGCAGGCTGCCCCGTGCAATCCCAGGACATTTGTTTCTACTCTTCTTGCCTGGCTCGGAGCACGATATCCACCTGGAAGATCTGCACCCTTTTCTCCAGCAACTCTGGCCCCTCTTCCTACAGAAACCAGTCCAAGGATCACTGGCCAGTCTTTGCACACCACATTGGTTCTTAAACAGGTTCTTCTCCCTTCATATTCTGCATTGTAGATGCTGCCGAGTAGCCGGTAGAGGCTGAGTTTCTTTCCTGTCTGGGTTTTGAGGCATTGCCACAGCAGAGGTCTGAGTTCTGCCTGGTTTTTGTGTTGAGACATCACAATTACACAGAACCAGAGGGCCCAGGAAGTGGAGCAGAGTTTTGTCCTCCTTTCTCTGGGGCCTGACTCTGGCACCAGGCTCCAGACAGCAAGGCACACTGGGAGAGTGAGAGAAGGCTTGAGGGTGATTAGGACCAGGGAGCTCCTGTCATCCCAGAAAGGCCTCGTAATCCATGTACCAAACCAGCTGACCAGAAAGAGGCAGCACGCCCGAGATGGGCCACTTCTTAGGCTCGTGGCCCACACGGCTCACCAGCATGGTGATCTCACGTTTTGTCCTCCCCATGACCAGGACAGCTACCTTCTTGGCGCGGTTGATGAGGGGCAGGCTGAGGCTCATGCGCTGGTGAGGCCTGAGTGGGCTCTCTGTCAGCACCACCAGCTGGTCACCATCCAGGCCAGTGGGTGACTGTGGGAACAGGGAGGCCGTGTGCCCATCAGTGCCCATGCCCAGCAGCACCAGGTCGAAGCTGCTGTTGGCCACCAGGGCTGAGATCTCGCTGGCATAGGTCTGGGCCCCCTGGTCCTCTTCCGCACAAAGGCGCTGGTGCAGGTGCACGGGCATGGGATGAATGTTGCAGTAGGGCACCCTGACGTGCTGCAGCAGGTGAGCCTGCAGGCCCTGGAAGTTGGACTCTGGGTCTGAGAGAGGGACACAGCGCTCGTCCACCAGCCACAGGTGCGTGTGGGCCCAGGGGAAGCTGTAATGTCCTGTGGCCAGCTGCTGGAAGAGGGCTATGGGGCTTGACCCGCCTGACAGTGCCAGGTGGAACTTGCCAAAGCGTCGGACGGACTGTTCTGCGGTGGCTTCAATGTCACTGGCTAGCTGAGAGATGAGCTCCTCTGGCCAGGCAGTGACCAAGGGGCTCTCTCTGTACTGGGCCCTGAGGACCTGGAAGTCACTGGGTTTGGGCACGGACCCTAGCTCTGGCATCAGCACCTCTGGCTGACGCTGGGAGAAGGACAGCTGACCGCCGCTGAACTCAAAGTCCAGCAGGTGGCCGTTCTCTGCTCCGCCTGGGTAGAGGCGTGGAACTTCGAAGGCTAGGCTGTCCAGTAAGGGGGTCCAGAAGACCCAGGAGGCCAGCAGGTTCTCTGTGGTGATGAAGGACTCCTTTCGGCAGTGAAAGATATGAGACAAGAGGACGGAGTAGGCGTCTTGCTCCCGCACAGGCCTGAAGGCGTAGTAATCAGACAGAGGGCGACCAAAAAGGCGGAGCCCAGGCTCGGCCTGCACCTCCTTCCAGCTCTGGGTGGGCAGGTAGGGCTTGAACAGGTTCCGGCTGACCAGGATGGTGGGGTGGCCCAGCTCGCCATGTCCAATGTGGAAGATTATCTGCTTGGGCAGGCACCGGCTCTGCTCCGACGCCCAGTGTCTCTCGCTCTGGGTGCAGTACGCCCGGTTCTTAAACAAGACACGTACGTAGCCCACTCTTTCATCCAAGGCCTTGCCAGACACCAGGATGAAGGGAACGCCCTCCCAGCGCAGGTTGTCAATGTGGACAAGGACACCTGAGGTGGGGAAAGAACGGACAGTGACACCACAGCCTGAGAGCGGGCTCTGCAGTCCACCTCGCACCCGCCCAGCCCCATCTTGCTGTGCCTTCAGCCTTCTGATGTTTCCTCTTCCCAGGCAGGGATGGAAACAGCTAGGAGGGTTAATTCTATGGCCCTAACACCAGCACTCTGAGGTCCCTCTGAGAGACCTGGTCTAACCAGGATTGGAGCCTGTCGTGGAAGGCTCTCTGCTGGGGCAAAAGGGGTGAGAGGCACGTTGGATCTTGATGGGTAAGGGCAATGTCCTGAGGAAGGGCAGCTTTCTTTGTGTGCAGAATGCCCAAACAAAGTCAAGCATGAGTAGAGGCCCGGTGTGGGGGGGTAGGTGAGAAGGAGTCTGTGCAGTGGGGTAGCACATGCATGTGTGTGTACCTGCCACAGTCATAGACGCCGGGCACGGACACACTGTGCACACTCTCAAGCCTAGCTGAGATCTTGCCTTTTCACCTGCCTGGTGGGTGTTGAGCACCGAGGGAGATACAAACACTGCTCGGCACTCAAATGGCCTTTATGTGCAGGGGCCGTCTCGTGGCCATAGTTTCTACCTGCTAGGAGCCAGCCGCCCTCCCCAAAAGGCTTCTGGAACTTTCCAGTGGCTCTAGCAGGTATCTGCTGGCCAATGTGGTATCTGTCCACAGGAACATCCCTTGGCTGTGGCTGGACAGAGGTTTGCTGTATTATGGAAGCTACACACACAGCCCACAAAGGTGGTACCTATGTGAGCCCCGCAGGCACATCCTTGGGAGACCTTCCTGGGACGGAATGGAGGCTGATGTAGGTGACCTGCGGCTTCAAACTGGCAGAAGGCCTCGGGGTGGTGGTCACCACGTACTGTGTAGCACTCTTGTCAAGATTCCTTGGAGTCCGAGCTACCTCACTTCAAAGGGCACTGGCTGTTCCAGCTGCTTCCAGCTGGTGGCAGCCCCACAGCTGCCGGCCCTGGTGCCTACCTGCAAAGGTTGGTGTCAGGCTCTGGAAACCGTCTGGCTTCTTCAGCTCCCGACGCACCTGCTCATTATAGGCCTGGTACTGGCCCAGGATGGCACTGCTCTTCTGCAGCCCCCTCAGGGCCTGGAAGGCTTGGAGCTTGTGCTGCAGCACCGCGGCCGAGCTGCTGATGTTGTGCGGCAGCTCCATGGCCACCAGTGTGAGGATCTCAGTCAGATGATTCTGCAGCGTGTCACGGATGACGCCATACTCCTCATAGAAACTGGCTCGGCCTGAGTGACAGGGGGGCGTCATCAGAAGGGTCCCCGAGGCGGTAAGACACTACCCATCACTTCTCGTGGCATCCTCATTCCTTCATCCAAAGAACCCACGCCAAGCTATGCCACAGCAAACCTCAACATGAGACAGGAAAGGGGACAGTTGGGGCACCCTCCCTCCATCAAAACTACTCTAAGAGGAGCCATCATCCCACTGGGACTGTTCTGGAATTGTCTTGGGAAGGTTCTAGTCTCAGGGCTGGGCAGAAACATCTGTGGATCTTGGCTAGCCTCCTAGCCTGCCTCCCTCCCTGGGCACTGGCCAGCAGGCGGAGCAAACTGGTCATGGCGAGAGGATGGTAGGCGCCAGCTCTGAGAGCCATCTCCTAATGTGACTACTTAGTTGACTGGCTTGTGTATCCGACCACTAAACAGAACCCAAAACACCACCCCATAACCCACTGCAAGAATTCACTTAGCCAGGGTACACAGAAAGAGGAAGGAGAACAAAGAAAACTGTGAGCTGTTTCAGAGGGGTCAGAGAAGGCTCCTCTGGGACCAGAGACATCGCAGGTGAAGAGACTCTCAAGTGCACAGCCCTGGGGCAGGAGATTGTGGTAATATATTGTTTATGATTTATGAAAGCTTGCCTGAGGGTTCAGAAAGCAAAGTCAGCCATAAGCCATAGAAACCAGGCACACACCTTTAATCCAGGATTTAGGATTAAGAGGTAGATGGATCTTTGTGAGTCCAAGGCTACCCAGATCTACACAAGATCGATCCAGTCCTAAAGAGAAGCAGCTCACACAAAGGGAGGCAGGATGAAGAGGTGAAAAGAACGCTGGTCAGAGTTTGGCAGCGCAGTCTTGCCTAGCACACATGCGGCCCTGGGCAACAACCTCCAGTACCACAGAAAAAGAAACAGGCAAATAGGAAGTTGCTGTACCTTGTGCATCTCCTCACTAGAATGTAACAGCACACTGTTTAAGCACACAGACACATATGACAAGAGTCAAGAGAATTGAGGGCTGGCTGCGACAGGGGAGCATGCCTGTCACGTACACATGAAGATCTTAGCTCAGATTCCTGGCACCCTTGTAAAAAGCTGGCTGTGGTGCTGCATACCTGCAACAACTCCAGCCCTGAGGAGATGGACACAGGAGGAGCCCCAGTAACAGCCGGCTGGCCGCAGAGACCCTGACGCCAAATAAATCATGTGGAGCGTGACTGAGGAAGACACCTGTCTCCCACAAACACACATATGTACACACACACACACACACACACACACACACACGTGCACACGCATACAAACAGAAGTAAGCACAGTCAAAGCTGGAAACAACAGAGGACGGGAAATAGGATAGAGTCCCAGGAGACACACACAAGAGCTGTCAAAGTGTGGCAAGGATGACCAGTGGGCAAAGGTGCCTGCTGCCAAGCCTGACAACCTGAGTTCAGCCTGCAGGGCCCATAAGAGGGAAAGAGGAACTGACTCCCACAAGTTATCATCTGACCTCCACATGTGTGCCACAGCATGTACACACCCATACATGCACACAAATCATAAATCACAAATAAATAAATAAATGTGCTAAGGTTTTTTTTTTTTTTAAGTAAAGCACTGTAGGAGCCTGGAGGTAGTAGAATTTTTTTTTTTATCCTGGTTGAGGCTCTGGGCTCATTGGGTGGGGGGAAGAAATAAAAAATAAATTAAAACCTGTTTTCATTTCTTATTACAGTTATATTTGCCTTGCATGTATCTCCTAAGCATTATTTTACCTGGAATCTACTTAATATTCAATCCAAACAGATAAAGGGGAGGCCTGCTCTGAGCAGGCACCCTCAGTCTTCCGAACCTGCCCTGCTGGGGAGACATGGTGACTATTTGGAAACAATAAAAATTTAAAAGGCAGTTGGGGGACCAGAGAAATGGGTCAGTGGTTAACAGCACTTGGTTTCACTTCCAGCACACCTACCTGACTCCAGCTTCAGGGATTTGATGCCCTCTTCTGGGCTCCACAGGTACTGCATGCAAATATACAAACAACCTCCACCACACACACGCGCGCGCACACACACACACACACACACACACACACACACACACACACACACACAG